AAAAAAAAAAAATTAACAATACGTAGACTATTCTAAAGTAAATAAATGATGACAAATCTTTTGGTGTAGGTTTTAAGATGATCCAATGAGTATTGAGTGTGTTATTAAAAAAATAGAATTTAACATTTGAATGTGACAATATATTCAAACATTTGAAATAATATAAAACTTTTTAAATTAATAAAACAATATAAAAACCAAAATGAACATTAAGTAGACTATTCTAGATTAAATAAGTGATGACAAATCTTTTGGTGTAGGTTTCAAGAGGATCCAATAAGTATTGAGTGTGTTATTAAAAAAACAGAATTTAACATTTGTATATGCCTATAATACTAGTACATTTAGAATGATAAATGTTTTTATGATTTAAAAAAAAACAAATTTACATTAAGTAGACTATTCTAGAGTAAATAAGTGATGACGAATCATATAAATAGTTATATTTATAAGTTCAATTTTATTGACTACAATATAAATTTATTTTCATTATCTCTGTAAAGGATAAAGAAAACTACTTCTATAATTAACATCATTAAAATGTAACGACTAATGACTATGGAATTTTATATTATTTAAAATATAAATCTAACACCATAAAAAAATTGTTTCTTTTTTTTTTTTTAAATTAAATTTTAAATGTAGTACAATATGGACAATGAAAATATTACTACAAATAAAATTTTGATTATTACAAGATGAATTTTAAGCTATATTACTCCAACTATAGATATTTAATTTTATATTTCAATATTTAGTTCTATAGTCTGTTAAATGTCTTGTGTAGAATTTTGTTATTAAAGAGAAATAGCATTAAAATTATAGTATTGTTAACTTAATATTACCATTATATTGGAGTTTAATGACGAGTAACTTTAGGCCCTAGATCCTTGAATAATATAGTATTAGAAAGTCCGATATACATTCCAATACTATAGACTTCAAGAATATATAATAACTCAGGATCATCAACTCTAAATGCTATAGGCTTGACTAGAGATTCACCCTTGACTTTATCTAACTGACGACGATGAGTAGTTTTAGATGGAGTCTTTCCTAAGCAATCGCTATCGTCGTCATCAGACAGCACAGGCACTACAGGTTGATGAAAGAAATGCTCATTGTCTAACTTAGCTTCTCGCCACTTTGCTACAGCCACATCCATTGCAAATTCCAAAGTTTTTCTCCGGATTTCCAATTCCTTTGAAAATTAATATAATTATTATTATTAGAATATTACATAGTTCAGACTAAGAATAAGTCAAAAAAATTGTGCAACATCTCTAATCTACAACCTACCATTAAGACAACTTACACTATGTTGCATGGGGATGCGCAAAAATGGATTTTCACAGAATCGTTACATGCATTTTTTACTAAATTAAGTATAAAGTTTTAATGTTTCATGCTAACATTTAACAATAATAGTCATAATAATAGTTTTAACAATATAAATAACTGTGTCCAATCCGATAAAGAAGAAAAAATAAAATAAAGATTATTTTAATTGACTTTAAAAGAAAATATTTTACTTCTAGTACCACTATTATTATAAATTAGAATATTATATATACTAAAATATAAATCCTTAAATGATTGGATTAATATCAACAAGTAAAAGAAAAATAGGACTAAATGATCTTTAAGGGTTAAGCTATATAGTATTTACTGTGGAACAACAAACAGTTATAGCATTCGATCATGTAAGTGCTAGTTACCAATTAATCATAAGGTATTTCATTTTTAGTATTAAGTAAAAGCAAGGTTCAATATTGAATATTTAATTTTATTGTTTAAATAAATACAAATTAATAAATTAACATTAATATTTTAGTAATAACTTCTCAACTCCTCTTACTTTAATAGCTGCAGATTGACCATTGCCTGGGCGTCCATGCTTTGATTCTGAGTAATAGTAGTAGTCATCATCTACTAAATCTTCATCTTTTGACATCAAAACAGCTAGATAGTAGTTAGGGTCATCTTTCCGTGTGTTACTGGGTTCGACCAGTTCTTCCAGGTTGCGCTGGAGACACTCGATCTCTGTACGTAGATACATGGCTGTCTCTTCCGGGTGAGAAACCCTTCCGTGTGAGAAACCCAGCATCGAAGCAGCTGTCTTGCCCACACTTTTTAATATCATACGAGTTCGGCCAAGCAGATTTACTGCCCGTCGATAATATGACACACGAGTTCCCATTTGCTGTAACTGGTCTTGGACATGTTGGCCCTGGAATAGGAAAGTAACAGCACCATAATAAGTCCGGAGTAAGAATTAGCCGAAAAAATTCTGCAACACCTCTAATCAACAACCTACCATCAAGATAATTTACATTATGACAGGATGTTGCATGGGAATGCGCAAAATTGATTTTCACAGAATTGTGACATGATTTTCTTACTGAATTAGGTATAAAATTTTAATGTTTTATGCTAACATTTAACAATAATAGTCATAATAATAGTTTTACAATATAAATAACTGTGTGTCCAATCTGATAAAGAATAAAAAATAAAATTAAGATTATTTTAATTGACTTTAAAAGAAAATATTTTACTTCTAGTACCACTATTATTAAAAATTAAAATATTATATATACTAAAATATGAATCCTTAAATGATTGGATTAATATCGAATGGTAAAAGATAAATAGGACTAAATGATCTTTAAGAGTTAAGTTATATAGTATTTACTGTGGAACAACAAACAGTTATAGCATTCGATCATGTAAGAACTAGTTACCAATTAATCATAAGGTATTTCATTTTTAGTATTTAGTAAAAGCAAGGTTCCCTATTGAAATTTTATTTTATTGTTTAAATAAATACCAATTAATAAATTAACATTATTATTTTAGTTATTACTTCTCAACTCCTCTTACTTTAATAGCTGCAGATCGACCATTGCCTGGGCTTCCATGCTCTGATTCTGAGTAATAGTAGTAGTCATCATCTTCTGAATCTTCATCTTTTGACATCGAAGCAGCTAGATAGTAGTTAGGGTCATCTTTCCGTGTGTTACGGGGTTTGAGCAGTTCTTCCACGTGGCTCTGGAGACACTCAAACTTTGTAGGTAGATGAATGGCTGTCTCTTCCGGGTGAGAAACCCTTCTTAGCATCTCAGCAGCTATTATACCACCACTTTCTGATATAAAACGAGCTCGGCAAAGCAGATTTACTGCTCGTCGGTAATATGACACACAAGTCCCCATTTGCCGTAACCGGATTTGGACATATTGGCCCTGGAATAGGGCAGTAAGAGCACCATAATATCGGCATTTGAAATCGGTGTAGAATTTCCACTTCTATAACGTATTAAAAAATAATTTTTAAAGCAATTGATATTAGTTAAAATTTAAAATACATTTTTAAACCTCAATAGCAATGTTTCTCAACGTTTGTATTATGGCAACACAATATTAAAATATTTTATACTTTATGACACAATAAAAAAAGAAGAATAATGGGTAATATTTATATTTAATTTTTATTGATGATATAAAATAAAAATAATGTTAATGTTGATAACAGAAAACTTATTTTAATCATCAAATTAATTATACCAAATACTTTTTAATTTTTATAAATCTTATCAAAAATGTTTGTACATTTAACATCATTTAATATACTTATCCAACGACACACTGGTTGGAAAACATTGCTTTTATTCTGTAGAAAATGTTTACTGAGTGTAATATAACATTAATTACTCATCCTAAGCATGTTGGTTGCTTACGTGATATGGCTCTAGTCCCATACTTTGAACTGCACCCACTGCTTCCGCAAAATACTCACATATCATAGCTGATACTTTAGCTACATTGATAATATTAAAAGAGAAAAAATATCAATAACAAAAATAATAATATCTTAATAGTATAGTCGAACATGAATAATAAAGGACTACTTCAAAGTTAGCAAGATGAAAATTAGTCAATTTTTATTTTTTGACTAATCTCTCAAACAATAATTATTTCAAATAAACCATTTTGCTTTATTTTTTAACTATTAAAAACAGTTTTAGACTTAAAATAATAAAATAAATAATAATTAGGTTTAAATATAAAAATTGAATTTTTTCATTCTATTTTTACTCTTTTTACGGTGAATTGATATGACATAAAAAAATTTTATGTATCTGTTTGTATGGAAAATTATTTTATTTACTTATATGGATATTTAAATAAAATTAATAGATACCTTTGTTTAATATTTAAAGATGGTTACATGTTAAAAAAATTAATTTAAATTTTACATACACAATGCTACCTAACCAATACAGTAAAATAGTTACTATAAACGGCATCTTAAAAATTGTTGTGCAGGTATGCTTGAATTAAATTTATTTATAGGTATAGGATTTATATATACCCATTTTACGAGGTTTTTGGCCATACATCATGCTTTTCTCCAGCATACACTCTTGGGCTTGTGCTAGTGTCACATTATAAGCAAATTCAAGAACTACAAAACTTGTAACTTGTGGCCTGTGTCGACGACTCCACTCAAATGGTTCACTATAAGATTCATCTTCTTCAAGTAATTGCTATAAAAAAAAAACAGATAATAAAATTAATATATTACGACTGAACACAAATAGCTTATACAGGTTTCTTAAATATATTGGGTATATTATTGTATGTAATAATTGCATGTAATACCTAAAAGCTGTAATTACCTGAAAGCCCGTAAACT